AGCCAGGTGTGTCTAATAAGACCCTGCCTTAAAAAAAAAAGCAGGGCTGGGGGGTGGCCTTCATTATGCTTCTACTAAAAGTACATTTCTTTTTTTTTTTTTTAGATTTATTTATTTATTTATCTTAGAGTGGGATTTTTTTGTTTTGTTTTTTGTTCTTTTCGAAACAGGGTTTCTCTGTGGCTTTGGAGGCTGTCCTGGAACTAGCTCTTGTAGACCAGGATGGTCTCAAATTCAGAGATCTGCCTGCCTCTGCCTCCCAAGTGATGGGACTAAAGGCGTGCGCCACCACCGCCCAGCAAGATTTATTTATTTAATATGTATACAGTCTGCATGTATCCCTGCAGGCCAGAAGGCGGCACCAGATCTCATTACAGATGGCTGTGAGCCATCATGTGGTTGCTGGGAATTGAATTCAGGACCTCTGGAAGAGCAGTCAGTGCTCTTAACCTCTGAGCCATCTCTCCAGCCCCCAGCTAGTGTTCTTAACCACTGAGTTATCTCTCCAGCCCAAAAAGTACATTTCATATTAGACAACGTAAATAAGAATGATAAAGGAGCAAACAAAATGAAAAAAAAATTCAAATTAACCAAAGCATTTAAGTTGAAAGCATTTCTTTCAAATCATATACATAGGGATATGTACAATATAACATGTACACCTCAATTTCTGAATACTTTAACATAGTTTTACATAGTTAACCTACTTATTAATTTTAATTTGTGCTTCTACACTGAACCAAAGTATCAGTCCTGAAAATGGTACAGTTCACCTTCTTCCCTATCATGTTTTAGATACAGTACACATTTTATATTGAATTTTTGTCAAACACTTACACAGTTCTATGCATCAGATCATTGCTATATACTGAGCAGATAATAATAAAGTGATGACATACCTCAGAATGGCCCTTAAGCAGCTTCATGCACAGGGGAAACTGACAAGTGTATATAGCAGCAAAACAGAGACAAATGCCAACAGATCTATGTATATGGTTCTTGAACCTACTGTTTCAGCTCTCCTTTCCTTTCTCCCCTTAACTAACTCTCAGGAGCTTCATCTGTCATTCTGAGAAATGAATACTACCTCAGTACTATCACTGGAATTAGAGGAGTACTATAATAAGGGTGTGGCACCTTGTTCAAAAGCAGAAAGCCTAATGTCAGGAATGCCTACTGAGACATGAAGCACAGCCTAAAATATCTGGTCATCATTGAAAACAGATCATTTCACTCCTGGGACACTTAAAGGTTTTAATGACACTTAAAGGTTTTAATGACCCTCTGTGATTGCTGACTATTGCTAAAGTTACAGTCTTTAATCTCCATATTTTGTACACAGGAACCTGGTATATACCAGTATAACAACAAAATTCAAAAGAAACTGAAATTCGGAAAGCCAGACCTAAAAGTCCCAGCTCCAAAAATGTGTAAGATCTTTGGGATACACTTAATCTAACTCTTACCCAAAAAAGTAACCCACTGTTACAGGTGGTAATGAATGAATGAATGAATGTAAGCAAAAACTCTTGTCCATAGGGTAGATATTTCACAAAAGACAACTTTCTCATCTGACAAATACCAATTTAGTATAAAATAGCTAAGCTAGCGGGCTGGAGAGATGGCTCAGAGGTTAAGAGCACTGACTGCTCTTTCAGAGGTCCTGAGTTCAATTCCCAGCAACCACATGGTGGCTCACAACCATCTGTTATGAGATCTGGTGCCCTCTGCTGGTGTGCGGATATACATGGAAGCAGAATGTTATGTACATAATAAATAAATAAAATCTTAAAAAAAAATAGCTAAGCTAGAATTCAAGCCAAGTTGTACTTAAATAACATCAATTGTATGTAGGCAATTAAAAACAGACAAGCTCCCCCAAATCGATCATATGCTGAGTTAGCAAGTCTCTATTAAAAACAAAAGAGTAAACAAAAGATATCAAGCTATGTCTGCTCTGGAAATAGAATCAAGTTTTAGAGCATACTGTGGAACAATGACAGAACATTGTTCTGGAAGTAAAATACTGGGCAGTGTTGAGCCTGGGTTCAGGAAGGTCTCTAGAAACCAGAACACAGAAATAAGTTTAAATTGGGAAGAGAGGACACCTGAAGAGTAGGGATGTGACATTACCCTCAAACATTCTTAAGCCCATCCCAGAAGTTAGTGAGCAAAACAGTTGCTGTAAGAGAGGGGTTTTCTTTCTACCCATGGCATAGGATTTTGTTACTTACCACAACTTTTGTAGCTTGTGCTGGTTTCCATTGTACAAGTATGACCCCACCACACAGCATAAAAACTGAAACCCACTGTAATTTGCTGAGTGTTCGATTTAACATTAAAACGGTACATAAAGCAGTACAGGGAATCTTCAGTTGATAGGTAACCTAGAAGCAAATAATAAATGCATCTAATGTTAGTCTTTTACAGAAATATGTCACCACCAGAATTAAGAAAATATTTATGAATGTAGTAGAGTTAATAAAAAATCTCCATTAAAAATACAATTAAACAAATCCCAGTTGTCTTTTCTTAAGACAAAGTTTCAATATATAGCCATAGCTGGCCTGGAACTCACAGAGATATAGAGTTCTAGGATTAAAGGTATGCACTGCTAGGTCCCACAGAACATTTTTTTTTTTTTTCAGCTCAGAGCTTTTTATATCATTAACTCCACTTACCTGGTATACTGCTGCATCCAAATTACTAAGAGCTAGGAAAGCCATGTTATTCTGAACAGCATACACCAGTGATGGCACACTTAACTTCATCAGTTCCTTGGGGCTCCCCAAGACGTTTTCACTTAAAGATGCCTTAAATCTACCCAAACTTCCAGTTTCTCTTTGAAAAACAAAAGGGAGATGAAAGAGTGGTGAGGCAAAATTAAAGATCCTTTCCCTAGCCAGTGCTAGGAACTGAAGCCAGGGTCCTGTGCATGCTAAGCAAGTGATTCATCATTGAGTTGCACCCTAACCTCTTGTTTTTGAGACAGGGTCTTAGTCTGTGGCTGACCTTGAACTTATGATCCTCCTGTCTTTATCTCCCAAATGCTGGGATTATAGGCATATATAGCCATGTCTGTAGCAGTCTTTTAATGAGATTCCACACACAGTACATTTCTGATGTAGTTTAGAGTATACTCTTTTTTATATATATACAACCTTTTTTATTTTACATACCAATCTCCCAGTTCCCCCTTCCTCCCCTTCCCATGACCTCTCCCCCTATCCACTCTTCAGAGAGGGTGAGGCCTCCCATGGGATTCAACAAGTCTGCCACATCACTTTGAAGCAGGACCAAGGCCCTCCCCCTGTATCTAGGCCGAGCAAGGTATCCCTCCATAGGGAATAGGTTCCAAAATGCCAGTTCATGCATTGCCAGTGACCCCATAAACTGCCCAATCCACACAACTGTCATTAATTTTAAAAATTATTAGTAAAATAGACCTATAATTCATTCCCATTTTTAAAAACTTAAATTTCTACTTAGAAAAAAAAAATCACCAAAATCCTCTGATAAAATCTGATCAAAGATACCTGGAGACAGAATAAATTCTCAGCCACTTCAACTCTATTGTAACAAGTATACCTCAGAATCTTTGTAACTGATCAGGCTGTATACCCATATCTTTAAAGTATCTTTCAAATTATACATTTAAATGCAAATAAGAGAAGGCTATAGTGGTTACACAACTTGGATTTGGAAGCAAGTGATTCTTATTTATGAATTTACTCAGTGCTAATTAAATAGGTAATAAATCTTCATATAAACAAACTCCCAAAATATGTCAAATCTACATAATTCTACAGGAAATCTGAAAAACTGATTAACCTTAATAAAATTAAACTATATTTGTAATGTACAAAAAAAGCCTGTTGGTTATATATGGTCTTAACAACAACCCAACCACCACCACCACAAGGCTAGTTAATCTGGCTTATGCTTCTCCTACAGAAAATAACCTCATTTGCTTCCTAAATATAAAAATAAAACAATATTGTATAATTAGCATCAATATTCCTATAAGCATGCTTTATCAAAATGGTCCTAAATGTAATTGAGAGCACCCTTAAAGGACCATACTCATATTTACGATAATCACAACGAGCCTGTGTTTTTTATTAGCATTAAATCAACTTGCAAATATTTTCATATTTAAATGCTGCAGGAACAATTACGTAAGTTCTGGGGCGGGTAACAAAATTTTGGTTCATTGTATCAAATTGATTATTCCTATGTATTCATTATAGAACATTCTATCCCTCAAGAAAATGTGCCACTTAAGACAGGAAATTTGGTCTAGACTATAGAAATGCAAAGCTTCTTTCTCAGTTATAGATCTATTACCAAGCTCAACAGTCTCCACACTACAACTCATAAGCTGAAAAGTTCTATGCACAGTCTGGGTTGGAAGCTACAAACACTAAGAGGGAAAAAGTAACCAAAGTACACACACATCCTAACAAATATCCTTGGTGAGGGAGTGGGATAACTCAGGGCCTTCTTTGCACGTTCTAGGCAAGTGCCCCACCATTGGTCTACATCCTCAAGTCCTTAGTTGCTTCCTAATACTAAGATGTACTGTACTTGACTAACATCTTAACCAGGGTATTTTCTCCTCCATTATAAAATTAAAATAACTACCAAGAGGTCACATTCAAGTGTGATGGCTGGCTTTAATTGTCAATTTGACACAATCTAGAATCACCTAGGAAGGGGTCTCAATGAGAGATTTTCTGGATTAAGTTGACCTGTGGACTTGTGTATGGAGAACTGTCTTGATTGTGTTCCTTAAGGTGGGAAGGCCTATCTACTGTAGGTATCACCATTCCCTCAGAAGGCAATTCTCATTGGTGTTAAGAGTAAAGAAAATGAGCTGAGCACTAGCACGCATGTATTCTCTGTTCTCTTCTGAGTGTAGACACTCTTCTGAGTGCAGACACAATATGATCAGCTGCCTCTAAGTTACTGCTACTATGACTTCCCTGCCAGGAGGATTGTAACCTGTAATTATGTGCTTAATAGTCCCTTTATCTCTTCTATTTGTTAGGTAACAGGAAAAGAGACCAAGACACTAAGAAACCCTCTTAAAAGATGATATATTAGAAAACAAATTAGTTTAATAGTTTTTCTTAATTACCACTAATCAGCTTCATATGATAGTACAGATAAAATTCTTAAATGTATCCTTTTCTAATCCCCATTTACCATCAACTCTTAGAGATAAGAGGCTGATTCAGTGCTATCAGTGACACTTTTCCAGATATCCACAGAACAGAACTGGCCAGCTAAACTACTTCTAAGATGTCCTTGACTACAGAGTGAAACCTTGCCTCAACCCCCCCCCCAAAAAAAAACAAGAAAATTCATGATGAAACCAATCCTTCCTTCCTTCCTTCCTTCCTTCCTTCCTTCCTTCCTTCCTTTCTGAGCCAAAGTAGGCCCCACCTAACAAGAATGATCTTAAAGAGTAAAATCCTTGACTGAGTTGCCAAGTTCTGGAACACAGAAGTTACTTATGATCTTAAAAGAGATTTCAGCTTTGTGTACAAATTTCTTACCTGCAAAGTTCAGTAGACTGAAAATTAAGACATATTGTATGAGGAAATACCCATTGTGTGAGGTAGATGATTTTCATGTCATCCCTAAGTCTCTGAACATATTACAGCATGGGAACTAAGAGGTTGAGAAAATGTCCACCCAATAGGAGGAATAAATAAGGCTGGAAAATCTATGACTTTAAGTATTTGCCAGATTTTATGGTACCATAAAACAGTAAAGACTCCTTTGTGATCTTATTATAGATAAGAAGCTTAAAGATGTATGAAAGACATATGTAAATAACTATTGGAAGACATCCAAAGTCTAAGTACATTAACATTTACACATCCTGCTAGGGCCATGCCATCTGTAGACTGTGGGGAAAAGCAAACAGAAAGCCAATTTGATGTGGGATACAGCTCTTGTATACTGTAAAGATTGGTTACTTGTATTGGTTTAATAAAACACTGATTGGCCAGTAGTCAGGTAGAAGTATATATAGTGGGGCTACCAGACTAGGGGAATTCTGGGAAGAGGAAGCCAGATGCAGAGGAAGCTAGATGATAATGCCTTACTGAGAAAAGATACCTAGCTACCTGGCTAAGCATAGATAAGAATTATGGGTTAATTTAAGTTGTAAGAGTTTTTTAGAAGCCTGAGCAATAGGCCAAACAGTTTATAATTAAGATAAGCTTCTTTCTGTGTGTTTATCTGGCAATAAAGGGCTATAGGACTGGGTGGAACAGAAACTTCGGTCTATACCAATTCTCTCCTAAGGCAGTATGGAAATGTCTTCACCTCCTTTCCTTTTACTCTACCAATGGCAGATTTAAATTGCACCAACAGTGTTAATGGGTTTCAGAGGGATTATTAGAGCATATAGCTAATAAGGGATTTTCCTTTGAAACTACTATATCAGTTTCATGAGCAAACAAAAATATCTTTAAAAGATGTGCTTTATACTTTATAGTTAAATACTGGGAACTTCAATTATCAAAACAAATCAACCTATCTATACAGACAGCTTATCACTACCGATCTGTCCCTCTTCCCCCAAAACACAATTTACTGATTTATTTTTAATTTCAAAGTGATATGAGGTAAAGTGACTTCTGTAGTAAAGTAGCTGCATAGCAGGTGTAAAACTCTGGCTTCAACCTCAGCACCTCAAAGAACAACAACAGAAACAAAAAAGTGATTTGATATAATCACACATGCACCAAGAGTCATGTACAAAAAAAAAAAAAAATCACTGTGTCTTTAGTTGTATAGTAGGAGAAAACTAGAAACAAACCAAATATTTGTGAATGATGAGTGGCATGTATCATATATCCAAATAGTGGAATACAATGCACTTTGGAGAGAGATTTCTATGTACTGGCATGAAGAATGTATGTATGTATGGAAAGTGACAATAAAACACTTATGTACAAAAACTTGAGTCAAGTGGAGCACAACAGTTAGTGTACTCCATACTCAGTGCCCACCACCTTCTTGCATGTAAGTAAAAATCACTAATTAGGCCACATAAGCTTTGTCAAAGTACCCATCCATATATTCTTCCATACACCCTGCTTTTTCTTCTTGAAGTTCTAATTTCTGGTTAAAGTAAGTATAATTTCATATTCCAAAGACTCTGGAAAGCTATGAGTAAAATCAGTAAGAATGGAGGAATCCTAAACTAAGTAAAATCAGAAACCATTACTTCAAATGCATAAGAAAATTCTATTTCAGAGGAAAAGAAAATCCAACCACCCTAACACATGTTATTCATTACAGGATCTAACACTTAAAGCAAAAAGAACTGCATACAGATTAGTGAACATCAGTAACTTTGGTATTAGAAAATCTTTTTAAAGCTGGGTGGTGGTAGTGCACACCCAACACTTAGGAGGCAGAGTCAGGCAGATCTCCGTGAGTTCTGAGGCCAGCCTGGTCTACAGAGCAAGTTCCAGGACAGCCAGGACAGTTACACAGAGACCTGAAAAGAAAAATCCTTGTATTTTTTATTGCACTTATTTACTTGTTTGTGCATATTTGTGTTTTTCCAGGCCATAGTGTTCATGTAGTCAGTTCATCCTTCCACCATGTGGGCCCAAGGATCAAATCTGGGCCATCAGTCTTGGCAGCAAGCACTTTTACCATCTGCTGAGACATTTGTACAGTCCAGGAATTCTTAAATCTATTACATATTCCAGGATTAAACAAATTAGTAAATAATTGAGTGTAACAGAAGCTAAGCTCATCAACCCTGCAGAAGGAAACAAATGATAAAGGGAAGATGTGAAAACCTGGTGGTGCTGAACATAACTGTAGGTGTCCTGCAGAGAACTGGACTTGTACAAGTCTGCACTGCACTGGCACCTTTGTCTGCTCAAAGAGCCTAGAGCAGTGGTTCTCAACCTTCCTAATGCTGCAACCCTTTAATACAGTTCCTCATGTTGTGGTGACCCCATCCATAAAATTACTTTCATTGATACTTCATAGCTGTAGTTTTGCTGCTATTATGAACCATAATGTAAGTATCTGTGTTTTCCAATGGTCTTAGGTTACTGCTGTGAAAGGGTAAGTCAACACCCAAAGGGGTGGAAACTCACAGGTTGAGAACCACTAACACAGAAGAATGGCTAGTGCAACATGTGTAACTAATACCTACATTCTGGTGACTAAATACCATTGGGGGGGGGGTGGTTTACAAAGGAATAAGGGATATTTCTTTAAAAAAAAAAACTGTAAATTCAGGGTCAGGACAAGAAAAGTACAAAGTAAACCACTTGCAGAATATAATCTGTTTAGTGCTACGTTTTTTTCACTTTTTTTTTTTTTTTTTTTTTTTTTTTTTTTGTTTTT